TGGTTGACCTTCCAGGCTAAGTCAATGACCCAAAAGTCGGAAGAATCGGGCCCTGTTAGAACGTCGTTAACCCGCGCCCCTTAGGGCTATCGGCGGACCCTACCACCCATAGGGGGGGGGGGCGTTTCGGCCCCCCTAAGATCTCGGAAATTTACCGGCCGATGTTAAAAAATCAAACGGCGTTTGATAGCCCCGTCGGGGAACTACCTTGTGGCCGAATTTCATTGACCTAGGTCAAACCGACGACGTTACAGGTCAGGTCAAAGGTCGGATTTTCACCGTTCACAGGCATTTAAAGAAATACGTTGTGAAATCGAGTAAATTGGTAAGTTATTGAAAAGCATCGATGGTACACCGTTCTTTAAACACATACTTTGCTATCTGAGGTAACTGATGCCAGGTCAGGTCACAGAGGTCAGGTCACTGGGGGGTCACAATATGAAAGTGTCGTGTGATACATGTTTTATGGTCCATTTTACATGACAAATGCGATTATGTGGGCCAGGCAGCCTTTGGGGCCAGCGTAGGTCACGTTTGGGTCAAGGTCAGGTCAAGGTCAGATCAAATTAGATCAAATTTCAAAGTTGATATTTTTGCATAAAATGGGTATTCATTCGATGCAGCTCGTCACGGGGAGTCTAATGGTGGTCTTTGTTTTGCTCTATGTGGTCTAGGGTTGCCAAATGAAAATTTGACGTCATCATTTTTGAACAGTTTTTTTCGCTATAACTTGGCCAAAAAGAATATATTGATCTAAAATTTGGTATGTAGATAGAAGACGGTAGGTACTAACATATATACTCCGGTTTTTGCGAAACTGTAAAAAATGGATTTTTTTGCAAATATATAAAAAATTTCTTTTTTGATTTTTAGGGGTCAAAACTCTAAAATTTCAAGAATCCGAGATGGCAATTTTGTAGCCCTGTCAATTTTTCACCTCTTATGTCTGGATCATTTTTCTGTATCTTCAAAGCTGTAGGCCTGACAGCTCTTCTCGCGAAGGTCTTTTTTTGGTCGAAAATGGCAGAACATGACGTCATTCTGACGTCATTTGTGGCCAACCTATCATAGCCTCTGGAAAATTGTTTTTGTCACAATGTATAAAATTGATGCCCGAAGGGCCTGAAAGTTTGGTGGCGATATCTCTAGCCGTTTAGGAGATATCGACGGAAAAGGACAGGGGGCGGGGCCGTTTCAGCACCATTTTCCATTTTCCGCCATTTTCCGGTTCAGTGTGTCAATTTTACCTACATCTCGATGTTTGAGGGTGTCTAAAATAGCGTTCGTGCAAAACAGACGCTTTTCAATTTTCTCCCATTGACTTATAATGGAGAGGCCGCAAAATTGACCTGACCTTAGGTCACCGATATCAAAATTCCGAGATAAACATTTTATAGATAATGTTGCTCTAATCAATCGCTGAAAGTTTCAAGGCAATCAATCAATCGGTGTAGCCATGACGAGCATTCTTATTTTTTTTTCTGAGGTGAGGTCACCTGGTGTGACCTGGTGTCCTGACCTAAGGCGACCTGGGTCTGAACTTTTCACAACATGTGCGGAAAAGATTCACGAACAGGCGCCGCCGTTTTTGAGATATCTGCGAAAAACCGCAGGGGGGGGGGTTCAAACACCGTTTTTTAGATATCTGCGAAAAACCGCAGGGGGGGGGGGAGGGGTGTTCAAACACCCCCGGCCCGGCGCGGGTTAAATAGCTGCCAAGATAGAGTTTTAGCGATAAAAACAAATCACGAGCACGGTTGTGAATTATTTTTATTTCGGGAAAATACAAATTACTTTTAGTGACCTGAGGTCAGCCGTCAGAGGTCAGGTCAACGACCCCGAGGTTTTAGTTTTGTTTTTTTCGCGAATAACTCCTACAAAAATGGGCCAGAGCATACGGCAGTGGTACCAACGCATTCGTCTTGTCAAGTCACGTCGAGTGACAAATATTATGTTTGGAAAAGATCAAGTTTTACTCGTATGTTGACCTCATGTGATCTCGAATGATTTTTGCTTGATCTTGACATATGAAAGGTCATATATAATACATTCGTAGGGCTACGAATAGCCCTATTCGAATAGTAGGGCTAAAAATGGGTGCCAGCTTCGGCTCCGCGGATCACGAATCTGGCACCCATTTCGCTCTAAGCATTCATTTAGATCCTCAGAATGGCAAAGCTGTCTCAATTGTTATGGCTGACTTGAATCAGTGAAATAGCCTCCAATACCTAAGGATACTCTACCGTAACCTGGACCTTGGATCAGCTTTTCGTAAGATAAACCACAAATAGGGACCTGATAAGCTTCAAAACATTTCAAAACATCTTGGAATTTAGTAAACAAGATATACAAAAAAATGCACGGTTTGAGGTCAATTTTGATCGTGACCTTGACCTTGAACTTGAATGTTGGATACATTATCGGAATCCTCAGGTTCTCTTCTTTCGTTTTACATCCATTTTGCCGGTTTTATGCATCCCGACGTCCTCTGAATCGCTATAGCGCTATAACTTTACGTCAAAAATGTTAGGTGCTTTGGATTCGTTCCGTATAGAAGATTTGTTTTGTACCGCTTTTGTTTCCGTACTCCCTTATTTACGGAGTTAGACAGGGTATCGAAAAGCCCCCCATCCACTGGGCTTTGGCGGTTGGGATTACCCCCGGGCCCGGCCGGATTAATTTCTCTTATGAAGAAAGTGAACAATGAACGTCACCAAGCACTACATAATAGAATTGTGGCTTTGGAACGTATTCCCACCTTGAAAACGGGTAGACATTTCGGCTGCATTACCCAGCAAACATGCCCACATGGTTCCCATATGGGGCCCACATGGGCCCCCCACCTCTTCCATATGGGCCCCACATGGGAATGGCAGTGGGTGACACGTGGGACCCATATGGGCCAGCCCACGTAGGCCCCATATGGGACCCACGCGGCGCCCACATGGGACCCATATGGGTAGCCCATCTGTAGCCCATGTCCCACGTGGGCCCATCTGGCCCATGTTCACCCCATATGGGACCCACATGGGATGCCCATCTCCAGCCCACATGCGTTTGGCCCATCTGGCCCATTTTTATCCCATATGGGGCCCATATGGGTAGCCCATCTGTAGCCCATGTCCCACGTGGGCCCATCTGGCCCATGTTCACCCCATATGGGACCCATGTGGGCATGTTTGCTGGGTATGTATGTATGCATCTGATATGAAATGACAGTCCACCTAATTTCCAAATAAAAGGCCGAGCTGCAAAGATGCTTTAACCTTCGCGTAATTGACGTTTTCGCAGCCTTTACCATATGGGGGAGGGGGGATCGATCAGACCTCCAGCCGTTCGACCCTGATCGAGCAAGAGCTTCGCGGAAAAAAACGAACGTACATCTTGCTCATGAGTCATATAACTAGATGAGGCCAATGTTACCCGATTGTGAGGTCTAAGGTGACCGGTTGACCTTCCAGGCTAGGTCAATGATTCAAACTTGAGAAAAAAAAGAATCTGCTAAACGTCATGGGATGACATATTTTTCAATAGGCATATTTTTAGGAAGTGGTTTTAAATTTTGCATTCCTTTTGTCAATAATCAGATGCATTTGTGCATTTGGGTATGCCGGGTCAGAGCAGCATAACAACTTTTTGATGTCACCGCAGACTGTTTAATTTCAAAATATCATCCTAGGTTACATTGTTACGATCCCGCTATCAACCTAAGCCACGAAAAAAGTCATGTAACAAATTTTGAGGGATGCAATGCAGTTGTGGTGCTGTTTTATGTTATGCTAATTAACATAATTCGTCTCTTCTAAGCTGCATGATTATCAATATCCCTGAGACTATTCTTTTTGAACCTACTCTTCACAAAAGACTTCGACTTTCGTTTAATATTGCCAGTAAACTATAATTACAATTTCTCTGCCCTTTACCTTTTATCCGCACTTAGGCCCACTGTCTGTAGGCCCTTAGCTCCCCTGCAATAACCTTCAGAATCATTTTGCTTACCTTGTGGGACTGATGCAGACTGGACAGCCGACAGAAGACCACAGACCATCGATATCAGTAGCATAACGCTCAGAGCAGACGGAACAGACATTGCTAGGGTCAGCAGACAGCGTACTTCGGCGAGAATCGAAGACAAAATATCCCTAGGTAAGCGCCGATTGATAGACAAGCGAACCGTCAGCCGGGCGTGTGACTGATGTGACTGATATGTACTGGACTGCGCGGCGTCGGCGACTGGACGGTCGGCGCGGCTGCCGTCCGTTTTATGTGAAGAGTTCGACGACAGCGGCGCGTCGGCGGCTGCGCGCGGGACGGGGTGCAGCTCGGGGAGGGTAGGGGTGGGTGTGGGGGGACACCAAGGGATTCCTGGTGACTGATATGTGATGGCCGAACGGGAGATATCAGATCTGATTCACTGTGTTATCAAACAAATCATCTGTTTTGTTTGGACAATCAGATGTGCATAACTACTGCGGTCACCTGCCGTTTTATGCCATTCGTGCTCAGTGGTCTTGTTCATGGTTTGTCGTTTCGGTTCCAAGCCCAAATATACATCACATTTTTATCTTGAAATATGCCTGAATATATTTCTGGGCTGAGGCGTCAATAATTGCACCCAAACAACTCGATCCATAAGTTTTCAACCGAACGATATTCGTTTCCCTTCTACCCCTTTTCTGTGAAAAGGAAATCAACTGATTTTTAATTTTTGTGTTAAATGAAGTTTTGCAAGTAATCAATAATGAAAAACATCGAGTCTGTGAATTTTCAGTTCAGAACACCTTCGTATTCAATGTACCCAAATAAATCATGCAATGTACAAACATTCCATTATGGGACACCAAAAGTAAAAGCACTTCCTGTAACATAAGCTGATAATGCCTATCCAATCACTATTACACTGACGCAGTCATACACTGGAAAATTGCAGGCAAACAAGTGAATGCACGAACGGACGATAGAACGGTCTGCTTGCACGAACATTTAGCACAAGCGAGCACTTAGCACGCGAAATATCTTCAGCACTGTCTCCAACGTCTAAGCGTGGCACATCTCTACTTGACTTTACACTCCCACTTATCGGTAAAACAGTCTGAGTCCTCGTGCTTAGTCGCTTTCCCAACGCCAGATGTATCTGGTGATGTATACCACCTGGAAAAGAAAATAAAGTTGTAAAATACCTCAAGATGACTAGGTATGGATCCGTTGTCATGTAATAAACTGATAAGAAAAATGAAGCATTGAGGCAGGAAAAATGGAGCTATTGTCTAGCTCTCTTTGAGATCGATGTGTAGTAATTCGGATGGAGATGCACTCACCTTACGAGCTTTGCAACGAGTCTTCCAATGAGTCCGAAATTTTGGCTGAGGCTGCTCTGCATTTGGCATAGCGCAACATGACGACATGTGCTACTGGAATCCTCTTGTTTACTGGAAAGTAAGCAATATCGAATCATTTGGTTTGGCCGGTAGGCAGAATTCAATATCTGCTCTCATAACACAGCTGAAACGAATATTTTGCAATCCGCAAGCGTGTGCGGTGTCCGCGATAATGAAGGGAACATCAGATATATAACCCTCGCACGACCAGGCCATTTCTCATAACACGAACGACCAGGGGGGGGGGGGGTGTTACGACCCCCCCCTGGCGTTTCGAAACGTAAGGTCGTAGAGCTTAGCAGAAAAAACCAACGGATTGCTCTCAACGAGATCTCGCGATTGGTGGTATATTTTTTGGTCCTAGGTCAACATTTGACCTACTTATGACCGGTCAAAGGTCAAATTTTCCGAAAAAATCCAACTTTTTCAACTTTCCGCGGCGATTGCGGCAAAACGGTGGGAGATATCGACTTGAAACCTTCACTATCGTGTTCCTTGATCAATTCTCTATCGTTTGGTACGTATTTCGTTTCTCTAGCTCTAAAAATGGCGCGTTGGGAGCGCCGGAAGTCGGCAAGGTCACAGTCGGCGGCAGAAATTCGAAAAATCAAAATTTAAATTTTTGAAATCTGATTGTATTTTTGGATTTGGGAGGTCCATTTGCTCCCTATAGAAGCTAATATTGCTGCATATTCCCATTGAGGTGACAAGAATTAGCAAAATAGTGGTTCGGGCGCTTTTCAAAAATAGTACCGGACGCTGTTCCTCTTGTGACGTCATAGCTCCGTGACCTGACCTGACCCGGTCAATTTTCTTGCATCACACGATAGCCAATGCTTGCCCCAACATGCATGGCAAGTTTCATCATGATCCATCAAACAATGTGGGTATCACCGGCAGAAAACCTAGGGATTCGGCGCACACGTTTGGTAACTGTCGGCCGGAGGCTGTACCTCTTATGACGTCATAACTCCGTGACCTGACATGACCCGATCAATTTTTTTTTCGGCAAAAGATGCGCAAAGGTTGCCCTAGAGGGTATTGAAAATTTCAGCCCGCTACGAAAAGCCGTTTAGCGTGCACTTCGAAAAAACCTCAGGGGGGGGGGGGTTGATACAACCCCCCCCCCCTAGGCGTTCTAGGGATAAAGCGTTGTTTTCTAGATTCGTCAGTCCAAGGACAATAAAGGCTCACATGACATCAATCAACTACCTAAATAGTTTCGATGTAAAACACAATGCTCGAAACAAGAGGCCTGACCCAAAACGTTCTCAAACCTCCGCCATATGAATCGATATCACATATGTATTTGTGCTCATTTTCCTAGATGCCCACCCAAGTCCCGCACCTACAGTTATCCGCTACTGACCTGGTCCGCAGCCTGGTGAGCCAGCTGCCGGTCTCCTCCGCCAGCTGCGTCCACTGGACTCTGTCGAGCAGGACTCCGCGGACTCGCAGCTCCAGCTGGGCGGCGTCCCAGGCCTGAGTCCAGTCTCCGCCTCCGTCTCCGGCCCGCCCGCCGCCGGTACCCGTGCCCGTGCCGCCCGTGCCTCCCGTGCCCGTGTTGTTGTTGTTGTTCAGAGTTTGCTGTCGGGAGAAGAATGTTAGACGCATTCGGAAGTGATAAAGCGTGTGGTTAAAATTACTGTGGTGGTGATGTTGAGGAACTTGATAAATATCGGCTCGTTTGTCTCAGTAATTTAAACCGCCGTTATTTGATTGCAAGCCGTTAATTAATCTTCGGGTGTGCTTGGTGTATCGAGCTCGGCCAAGCATTCAATCTTTTCTCAAGCATATGCCGCTGCATAAATAGGGACGCTTATGACTCAAACTGTATGGATTGAAAATACGATCCTATTGCGGAATAAATCAATTTAGCAAGTACCGACTCACGACTGTCTGAGGCGTACTCCTCACCTGAATAAGGTTGAGCAGGAAGAGGAAGCTGAGCAGCGCCAGTGCGGAGAGGGCGGGGCTGTTGTCGTACCCGCCCCCGCCGTAGCCGCCCCCGCCCCCGCCGTACCCTCCGCCGTGGCTCGGCGGGCCGTAGCTGGGCCTGGCGGTCACAGACAGCACGGGTCAGCGCGTGGCAAACGTCTTCGCTGATTGTCCAGGGCGAGCGAATGAAGTCTATATTCCTGAGGCAGTGTCGTTAAATTTCTAACAGGACTCGCACGGTTCCGTGGTAAAACAGAACATCACAGGACGGAGCCATTTTCATATCCGACCATCGCATGCAGAAACAATGTGCGGTATGCTTTTGTAGCCTGCTAATAATTCAGCAGCAATTCATAAGACAGCTTAGTCGACATTTATAACGAATTCGATAACGAAATTATGTAACGAAAATTCAGCACTTCAAGGACAATATGGGTTGCGATTTCAACTGGGCGTAAATGGTACTAATTAGGTACTGCTGGCTTGCAATTGATCTTCTGAGGCCACCAATGTTTTGCATGGCTACAAGACTGGACAACAATTATTAATGAGTCGCTGATGAGCTAAATGCACCAAACGTATATTCATGTAGGTTTTTGAACTTTGTTTCTTGTATCAAAGACATAGCTAGAGCCTACATAAGAGGTCTCGAGTGAGATTAATCTGCAAGAACATGGATCACTGACACATAACGTCAGTTACCCTGGTAGGGGAGAGTGGGGAAAGATGCCCAGGGTTTTGCTATGTCATATATTATTCGAAAATGACGATTAGAAAGCAAAAACTTGGAGTTTCAACGGAAGCCGACATCATTTTTCTCCAAAAATATCACACTTTCGTGCCTGAAATATTATAACTTTTTTGCTATCAAGCATTTTCATGAAGAAGTGAAAGGGGGCATCTTACCCCACAGGGTGGGAAAGACGCCCCCTGACGTTGGGAAAGATGCCCCCTGCACTATAAGTGACATAAATGGGCACGTGAATCGCCTGGACGAATCAGTAGTCCCTTCGAGCCTGCAGTAGACACCAAACGTCATCATAAGGGCCCTCAAAAGTAGTCGTAAGGGGCTTCAGAGGTCATCATTAGGACCATCATAGTCCAGCGCGGCCAAACAAGCTTCCGTGGTGGCGTTCGGAGACCACTGTGGGGCTCTTATAGGTCTTCATGATGCTTGAGGGCCCTCGAGCCCATCGTGGGGACCTCCGATGCCAGCGCGGCCCGTGGGGCCAACGTGGGAGCCCTCAAAGGATGTCGTGAGGGGCCCTGGAGCCAATAATGGGGCCCACAAAGGCCGTCGTGAGGGCTCTCAGAGTCAGATGCCGCCCAAAAAGTCGCTATGTGGGCCGAGAGACCGGCATGGGGAGCACCCGACCGTACTGGACTCTCAATAGTCCCAGATCGGCTTTTGTCTACATCACAAGAATGTAATAAATGATTTGACGGGCTGTTTGAAGGACAGCCTACGGATTTAGCGGGGCGTCTTTCCCCATCAGGACATGGGCATCTTACCCCAAGGTACCGAAGTAACATTAAATCCGTACAATTTGTTAGCCATAAAACTACACCCTGAAACAAAATGTTTGGGACACAGTACACGCATGCTAATGTATCACGACTATAGCAAGGGACGCAAAAATTATTTACCTTCTTGATATTTACAATGTTCTGACACCAAAATATTTTTTGAAAGCAGCAAATAAAAAACATGCAATCATCAGCCAGCCGTTGCCCAACTGAGTTTCGCAATTTTTGGTGCAGTTAACAAGGCAGGCTTCCGCTTTACGCTAAGAAAATTAATTTCCAGGTCCGATTCTTTGTTTCGCCGCTAGAGGGGGTGGGGCGTCTCTCCCACCCTGGGCATCTTACCCCACTCTCCCCTAACTGTCATCTGCAGTAACTAAGCTACGAGCTACACATGTCAGCAAGCGGCAACTAATGCCTCGAGCTTACAGCAATATCGCCTGCAGTAACTCAGAAATTGTGTGGCTCTACCACGAATATAGCAACAGGCCGGCGATCAATACATATTTTCAGGCTCTCTTTGGACCCAATAATGCACGAATGAAACTCATCCCTTCAGCTAACTGTGCGCTATTTCCACTACGCGCCGATGTCGACCGTACTCACGCCGGCGCTGGTGCGTAGCTAGCATAGCTGGAGTCGGCGCTTGTGTACTGATCCACCGGTACCGGGTACATGGCGTACTGCTGTGTACCGGCCAGGGCCATGTCGGCTGTGGGCTGGGGAGGGACCGCCTGGTACGGGTCGTACACGGGCGGCGGCGCGGCGGCGGCCGGGTACGGGTTGTACTGCGCCGGGTACGACACCGGCTGAGCGCCGTACTGCTGCGTGCCGTACTGCTGAGTGCCGTACTGCTGCCCGCCGTACTGCTGAGTGCCGTACTGCTGCGCCGGCTGCACGCCGATGATGTAGCTCGCCGCCGGGGTACGACTCGGCTGGTAGCCGCCCCCGCCGTACGTCTGATACTGCGCCGGCTGACTGTAATCCCACTGTCGACTCTGGCGAGCTAGAAAACAAACAGTCCGCGGCAAACGTCGGTATTTTTCGCAGGGCTGAGCCATATGCATACAAACGATATTGTGGTTGTTTATTGGTGAGCAGGGACAGGGAAATACGAGCTGTGTTTTTCTGCGACCAAATCGTTTAGTGAGTGATGAGTGGAGTGGCTCCAACACATTCGCTATGAGATCGTTACCTGCACGCTGCATGGATTAGCAGCGTGATTTCACGGCAGTTTGATATGGAGAGCGCCAGTGATTGCGGCGTCGGCAACCTCATTAGCCGTCTGAATCACCCCGGTACTTTACACTCCGCCGTTTTCTGGATACAGGCCGAATGAGGTGCATGCAAGTAGATATGCACGTTTGCCTATGCAATGCATGCCTTTTGTATGCCAATGGACACCGTGATTACTTTGTCATTTCGGCCTTGTTCATTTCTTTTTATCAAGCAAGTCCGCACGCCACGAACATGACCTATCTTCGCCGGGTGCACATCAGAACACAAACCATATGTGTTGCATTACCACATGCAAAAAGTGGACGCGGACGTCACATTGCCCATTGCATTGCTCATTGTTAACAAAGAGAGCGGAAACAAACGTGGAAACGGCTAATGACATTTCATTTTATTGCAGCTTTGTTCAAAGAGCTAGATAAACGGATACCATCTGACATTCTGACATTATTACATATTGCGTGAAGCGACTGAGCTTCATTTATTCCCAAATGTCATTGACTCTCCTGAAGGTAAAGCCGCTTCGAGAGGAATCGCGAGCTCATAAAGCTCCTCGCATTCTCGTGACATCTTGGCACAGAAATTCATATCACGTCGTACGGTCGTTACGTCGACTTGATTCGTAGGTCAATGATCCGCAGTAGCATGTGCCAACGATGGACATCAATCGAACTACGAATAATATTACTCTAGAAAATGCCTAATTCATCTGGTATGTGTAATACAGTTATAAAACCATTTAACGCAATTGTGAACCTTCAGGCGTTTTACCAATCACCCACAACGGGACCGTAAAGCATCGAAACGGGATCGGGACATTTATAGTACGCACGGTTGTTATTCTCACCCTTATACGAGCTCGTATAACTCGGCCGCTGGGCTATATGCAGCGACAATTGCAGAAAGAAAACGACATAAGCAAGTTCGCCAAATGGTAACGGAAGAGCAAACATCGTCCTCCCAAAATTGCCATGAACTGTTTGGTCCCTGGCAATATCCAATAATCACAAACTGCCGGCAGACGGCATATATGTATGTTTCAGTGCTCCTATGCTCAGTGTCACTGAGTTCATAACTCATGAGGAGCGCGCTGCTTGACCATGGGAACGGGGCGAATATCACAAAGAACGGTCAACGGGATGGTTAGGCCTGCCTTTGGGAACGCTGTAAGAAGTATGAACACTATAGCAATAAACTACCTACATTGTTTTTAACCTTGTTGTCAAGAAATGCAAACCTTTATTTTAACAGGAAAAATAAGCTTTTGCGCTAGCCCGGAACACAAAAAAGGCTGTTAACCGTACCAAGACTCTTATTTTTGAAAGAATGATCCGAATTCTCACTTAGCAGCAATACGAACGACAGCTCAGTGCACCCACCATGTGTCGTCATCTCACCTGTGTGAAGACCCGTGTGACTGCCGGTCTCCGACATCCTCTCCTGCCGAGCCGAGCCAGCCGCGCGACCCGCGTCGACCCACCCTCACCGCACACCACCTCTCGCCGACCTGTGACGCCGTGTGACGCTCCTCCGTTACCCGCGCGCCGCGTCACGCGTCACGCCTTGTGACGGCGGTGCTCACTCTCCCACGGCGCGTGCCGTGATGTGCCGTGTCGTGACGTGACGAGCGCTGAGCGCGTTCATTGCAGGGAGACCGACAGCAGACGGACGTAAATCTGTCCGTGACGTATCTATCAGCGATGGGAGTTTCACACCGACGATTTTCTCAATAGTTTCAAATATGATCACACATAAAAAGAAAATGGACTCTTCTCAGGTTTGGATTGCCGTATAATCACAAATTTACTTT